TGCTGGAGCGAGTCCAGAGGAGGACACAAAGATGCTCCAAGGGCTGGAGAAACTTTGCTCTGGAGACAGGCTGGGAGAGTTGGGGGTGTTCAGCCTGGAGAGGGGAAGGATCTAGGGAGACCTCAGAGCCCCTTCCAGTGCCTAAAGTAGCTTCAAATAGAGCTGGAGAGTGACTTTGGACAAGAGCACATAGTGATGGGACAAGGGGAAATGGCTTTAAAATGAAAAGGGATAATGGCTCTAAACTGAAAGAAGGCAGGGTTGGATTAGACATTGGGAAGAAATTCTTCCCTGTAAGGGATGTGAGACACTGCCCAGAGAAGTTGTGGATTCCCCATCCCTTGAAGTGTTCAAGGCCTGGTTGGATGGGGCTTGGAGCAACCCGGTCTAGTTGAAGGAATCCCTCTCCATGGCAGGGGCACTGAAACTACATGATCTTTCTGGTCCCTTCCAACCCAAACCATTTTGTGATTCTATGACTCTATGACTCTTTCAAAGCTATGACCACTAGGAGTTTTCAGCGCTGCTTAATCCACACATTTCCATCAGCTTGTTTTATCCCTCCAAGCCTGCTGCTGAGTGAATGGCAGTATTGCCATCTACTGGGCAGCTGCCTCCTTCTCCCAATCTCTCAGCTGGCCAAAGTGCTCCTGGGCAATGCTTGTCCTCCTCTGGGGGACCAGAAGCACCATGTATCTCACTAAGGCATCACACTAAAATAAAATGAAATAAGGCTTAAATGACACACTTGGGTTTGGAGGAGAGGTGGAGATGTCCTGGGGCTTGGCTGTGTTTCCACACCTGGCCTGGCACACACATCCTCAGCTGGATGAAACCATCTCCATAAGGTAAGTGCTCAAAAAAACCCCATGGGTGCACCTACATTTTGACCAGGGAAGCTGAGTGAGGGACCAAAATGCCAGTTCTGGCCATGTCTGACTCCATTACATCGATTTGTGCATGAAACTCACCAAAGTAGGAATATCTGCAACCAGTGGAGCTGAAATATTTTGTCACAAGCAGAGGCTTTGGGGGCTTTCAGGTCAGTCCAGCTGAGGAGGCTGAAAGACTTGAAATTTCCTGGGAACCTGGTTTCTTGGGGACCACATGAGTTACATATCAGGGTAAAACATTACAGGAGAACCCTGCCACCAGGATGAATACCACAGAAGGATCTCCCTCTAAAATAAACCTGCTCCCCTGAGATATAGTGCATGGGAAACTATTATCTATTACACTTCTCTGGAAATAAATACTTGGCTGCTACTTTGGAGTAAATAGAGATGAGAACTTAATGGTCCTTAAGTGCTTTTCATAGTCAAAGCATCCCAAAGTGCTCTCTGGTAATTAAGGCTGAAAAGCTGTCAGGAGGCAAGGGAGACTCTTATAGCCACACTCCCAATATCCATCACTTTTGCCTGCAAGTGAGCAAGGGAATGATTGGTGAAGGAGTGGTACAATTTCAACTATAGAGATTTTGGAGGTTATTCTGATAAAGAACAGCAGCCCCAGGGTAGGATTTGGACGAGGAGATATCTATAACCAGAAAACCTCTATGCAGCTGTGGCGTGGGTGAGGGCCCTGTTGTTGAGCTTATCTCTGTGTGATTTTAAAGCTCCTCAGCTCTGTTGTGTTTTGAGCCAGCTGAGGTGCTCAAGGGTATGAAGACATCCCCATGGGGCTGGTGAGGTGACAAGGGACCTCAGGAAATCTGTGCCCCTTTGATGCAGCAGGATGGGATGGGATAGGTTGTCCTCAGACATTCCCTGATGGCACTAATTTGACACCAGCACCCCACACTGTGTTTCACAGCTCCTACAGCCTTACCTCCCCAGATAGCTCAATGTGTTGTGGCTGGTCCTACACCTCATTGAACACCCTACACGTGGTGGGACCAGCAGATAATTCTGTTGCTACAGTTGTCTCCTTTTTCTGCTCTCCACAAAGACGTGGGGAGCACCAGTTTTCCAAAATCTAGTTCATTCCCTGGTTTAGCTGCACCCTCACCTCCCATTTTTGGAGAAAAGGACGTGGACATTCTACATGAGCATTACAGCTCCGTGCCCAGCCGTGTTTTCCCACTGGATTACTGTTCCACCTGCCATCTCCACACAGTAAACCCTGTGTGAAGCACCACATTTTCCACAGGCTTCCCCAGATCACAGCTTTGCCCGGCAGAGCCAGGGAACAAGCAGCTCTATCCAGGCACTTGGATGGCGAGAGGCAAATGAGGGCACAGGAGAAGCACACGTGCCCTGCCCGTGTTCTGCCAGGCTCCCGCCTCCCTCTTATCCTGCGCCATAAATCACAGCTGAGCAGCACAAGCTGTTCCTGTCATCGAAACACGGAAAGAAACGCTGCTCTTGGCACCGGGGATGTGATAATGACCCTGAATTAGGGCTGTACATCTCCAGCACCTGATTCTCCTGCTCCTCTGGGTGCAGCCTGAGGTTTTTCCTCCTGGATGTTGTAGGAACAGGTCCAGGTCTTGCTTATGTGGAGGAAGAATTTAAAGGAGCAATGTCCAGCCTGGCTTTCAGAGCAGCTTGTGGCAAGAGGTTTCAAGCACCCGGTGGCCACAGCTGCCCTGTGGAGACCAGGGCTATAAGCAGGAGCAGGGACAGCCTGTCACTGCTGTCACATCAGGGGACAAACAGGGCATGGCCCTGGCGTTTAGCGTTGGGTCAAGACACCTGCATACTCACTAAACTCCTAATGTGGTCCCAGTAGCAGCAATATCCCCAGCAGTTCCCAGCTCTACCCAGTCCTGGCCAGGAATGGAGGCTGATTAGAAATTGTGACCCCATGTGGCATCCCCAAAATTCCCCCATGGCCCATGCACCAAGTACAAAGGGGTTAGACACCCAGCACAGGCATCGGGCACTCTGCAAAACCACCAGGCACTCTAAGACTTCACTTCTCAGCACCTGAGTAATTCTTGGAAGTGGTGTTCCCTTTAAAAAGATCTTATTTCCTAAAGCCTGTGATCTCTGTTTTTTAATTCCTCCTGAAGCTCAGAGGCAACACTTGAATATAGTCAGGCAAGACTTCAGATGCTGGTGTGCTCCTGACATGTGGCTGTGTAGTTGTTCTTAGAAGGGACATTACTGAGCCCAACAGCTCCAGGCTCTTTCAGAAGTGTCCTGCCCACGATGGGGGGTTGGAACTAAATGATCCTTAAGATCCCTTCCAACCCAAACCATTCTGCGTTTCTATGATTTATAGTCTAGCAGCAGAAATCACACATGCTGTCTTACAAGGAGAAAGAACCATTCAGTAATATTAAAGAGTAGAAAAGCTGAGATTCAGGGGTTTTTTTTAACCTGTCAGAAGAGGAGAACTGCCAAAGTACTGAGTGCCCAGGAGACACTGCCAAGTGCAGCCCAATAAAATTGAGAGCCGAAAACACAGCCAGGACTCTGCTCCTTCACAAACCTTAAAGAAAGTGCTGCTGGTTTCATTTTCGTTTGCTGTAACAAGGAATATTTATCTGTTTGCAGATCAGAGCTCTGGATAACGGCGGCGAAAAGCAGCTCCTGTGCGTCACTGCTTATCTGTGGGTCTGCAAGCAAACACGGAGGACAGAGGGTAAGGCTGAGACAGGCCGTGTCACTGTTCCTGGCCCGCAAAACTTCTTTAGCAGTAGGTGGCAACCGTGTTGGATATTCCTTCGGTTGGCCAATGCCCTCTAGTGGTTTTTGGAGAGGAGAAATGTGCGTTCCACAAAGCGAGGATTTTGCTGAAATCCTGCTGTGCCCCAGGTGTGTGCAGAGTTTGGGAGAGAGGGGACACAGGTGGTTTAGAATGATAGAAGAGCTAAATCAAGACCCTTCATCCATAAATGTGCATCTCATACACAGCAAAAGGGGGAAAGGGGAGGTTGTGGGATTCCCTGTGTTTTCCAAGAAGGTGATTTGTAGTTCACAGAATCATAAAATGATTTGGGTTCAAAAAGACCTTAAAGATCATCCAGTTCCAACACTCCTACTATGGGCAGGGCCACCTTCCACTAAGCCAAGCTCAAATCAAACCTGGCTTTGAACATGTCCAGGGATGGGGAAGGGATGGTTTTGCAGTTCACAAAAAGACAAATCCTGCTTTACTGTGCACATATATCTCTCTCTCCTCCTCCTTCCCTCCCTTTACCAACCCTGCTGTGTGTCTAAGAGGGAGATGGCTTTTATTTGGAAATATTATGCACTGCAGACAGGCTTGCCCAGCTGGCTGAGTCCCCTGCACACCTAACAGCACAAGGGATTGTTTAACACTGAATTTATTGCTTCCTCTCTAGAAAAGCATCCTCCAGAAATGCCCTTTTCTGGACTCTTAGTCTTATAAAATGAATTTTAAAAATTATCATCCTGTACAGAGTGGATTTTAAGAATAAGTTAGATGGATTGTTCTTTCTGTGGGTTGAGTTTCCCACTACACTTGAGGCAGATGGTTTCTGTATGAGCAGCGCTGTATTGAGGCTGTTTGTTTAGGAATATGAAGATAACCCAGTTCTGCAAGCAAAACTCCTTGGCTGCTCTGAGAATAGAACAGAATAGGAATATTTATACTTGTGCCCAGCAGTGTCACACACTGCTCTGCTCCCACTGACCCGGAAGCACCGAGCTGACCACCTTCTCTGATGGTGGGGTTATCCCTAAGGAAACCCTCAATGAGAAAAACCCATCCTGGTCATCTTCAGGGTGGGTTTGGTGTCAAAATGACAGCCCTGAGGACCTGTGCTCGCTGCCATGGCCCAGCCCCAAGTTAAGGGGAGCATCACTGGAACATTCACTGGAGTCTCCTTCCCTGCTGGCCTGGTCTGAGCTGTGCCTATGGCTGAGCAAACACAGCAATGGGTCACTGGTTGCAGTCACTGAGACTTTATTATCCCATTAGCCAAACCTTGCTGTTAATAGCCCAGAGAGTGCAGAAGGGATGAGAGGAGGGTTAATGAGCAGAGATTCTTCATTCTTATCTCTTATATTCATACACCAGTTGATCTTTCTCTAGAACCCCCCATTATTCTCCATAGTCTGGAAAACAAAAAAGTGATTAATTCAGTAAGAGAGCCAGAATAAGGCATGTCTTCATCCCAGGTAATGCTCTGAAGAAGGGTTTGTTCCCAGCTGGGCCAGGAGATTGCTCTAAAAATCCGTTCCCACCCAAAATGGTTTGCGGACCACAGTAACCTCCCCCTTCCTCACACTGATTTAAAATACCTCTCCCCACCTTTCTTTCCAGCAGGACTCATAGTTTGCAGCTGCCTTTCCACATAACCATCCCCTGTGCCTGGGAAACGGCTGCTCCTTGTGCCAGTCATTATTTCTGGGAGCAAAGAGCTAGTTGTTCGTTCCCAAATGTGAAGCTGATGGTGGATAGTGCAGCACTGCAGGACTTGCACTTGCAGAAATACTTTATGGTTGCTGTATTTCCCGTTCAGCTGATTCCTTCCCTGGTTTCCTCCAGCAAGGTTTTGTCTGGGTGAATGATGATGATAATTTTTTGGACACAGAGCCCAGTTCCTGCCTGGCTTGAATTTTGTCCGTGTTCCTCAGCAGAGCATTGCAGCTTCAAGGCAGCAGCTCCTTCCTTACTGTTGTTTGACTACACCAAAAGTAACATCAAATATCCTGATTTTCGACCTCTCCAGATTTCCCAGCTTGACCCCCAATGGTCTAATAAATGAAAGACTCCAATTCCCCTGGTAACCCCTTGCCAACCCCCGGGAGATGCACCAGGTTACCTCACAGGCATCAAGCAACTTACACTGTAGATCCAGTCCACATAGGCTGACACTCGAGTGAAGACTGTTGGTTTCTGGTAGGTGTTACAGTAGGGCACTAACCCAAAACTGACAATCCCATGGACTTCCCAGTGATCATCTTTGTAGCAGTTGAGAGGGCCCCCAGAATCCCCCTGGATCAGAGGAAGGAAAGGAACATATTGAGCTAAATTATCTGAGCAGTTGGAAGACTGGATAGGATTAAGGAGCATGGAAATAAACATGAAAATAACCATGAAAATAAAAATTTGTGCTGCTTTCTTTTCCAAGGGTTGACTGGTCCCCAGCAGAGACTACCCAGCACCTTCTGAATTCCTGCAAAAATCAGCCCCTCTATGTGTTATCTCAGTCCTCATGTACATATGCACACACACACACACACACACACATATAACCCCAGGATGGGCTGAAACCCTAATTTGCCACCACTGCAAATTTAGTGACTGTAAGCAAATGGTCCAGGGCACAGTGCATAAAACACAATCCTTTCCTGCAAGGTCCACCTGCCCAGCATCTCTGTTAAAAAATCAGTGCACACTCCAGTTGTAAGGGACCAGGGAGAAGGGAAATGCTGTTCCCCTTGTTTTTCACAAACATGTATATTCAAAGAGTCCTAGGAAGTTAAAGCAGTAAAAAAGAAAGGAACTCAGATTAAAATATATGAGAAGATAAAGGATTTTGCTTGGCTCAGGACCTGGTTTTTAAGAGGGTTCTACCATAATTAAACCTCACAAAAAAAAATACACTAAATGTCTACAGACCTATAATTACCTTATATAATGTAATTGAAATATGTATAACTGTTTAACCTGTTTTATTTCTATATGTGTCTCTATTATATTCCTATCTTTACATAATCAAACATGTTATGTATTTGTCCACAATTTTTTAAAGGCTCTGCATGGTGGCTCTTACGGGAAGCCACCTCTGCAGCAAAGGGAATACAGGCAGAGGTCACAGGTATTCCCTGCCTTCACGTGCCAAACCTCCTTGCCTTGATGCTGGGGCCGCCTGGAACCCCTGGGGTAATGAGAACCTCGCAGCATCTTCCTTTCCCACCCAACTTGGGCCAGGTAGTGCTGTTGGACATGGCCAAAACTTCCAGCAAATTCAGCTGTCCATGCAAACAGAGTGGAAGGGGAGGGAAGGATGGACAAGCAGAGGGAAGCACTGCCTGGCCCGGGGTGCAGTGTGACAGCAGTGTTGGAGGAGTGGACTGACTTCCCCACAGCTTCACCCTTTGGGTGAGGGCAGAGGCAACTGCCAAAGTTTCAACCTAGTCCCCAGGATCTGGTCCATGGGACATGCTGCTGGAAGACAGGGCAAACCTCCCCTCCAAAATAAGAGGGGAGAGGCACATCCTGAGCACTTGGAGGTTTTCTCTCTGCTGTGGGGAGATGGAGGAATGTGGAGCAGATCTGGTTTGGGAGGTATTCAGCAGAAATCAGCAAAGGGGCCAGGATTTGCAGGAAAGCTATTCCAGGTGGAGAAATAGCAAAAACAGGGCCTGAGTGAAAGAACAGCAAGGTCAGAGAGATAGGAAAAAAACTGAGAGATGCTTAAAAATGCTTTGATAACAACAGCTCTTACACTGCATCCAGCCTTCACGCCATCTCCACCTGCACAGAGCATGGTGTCCTTTGCCTGGGATCCCCACCAGTCATCCTGGGAGCAGATCTCGTGGTCGACCACCGGCAGCATCACCTCCTGCAGCCTGTCCGCACTGCCGCCCCCCGCTAGCAGGGAAAGGGGGACACGATGGTCCAGGAGCTCCAGGGGTTGAGGAAGGAAGCTTTACCTTCATAGTGGTCCCTCTGGAATCAGGAGGGAACCTCAACCCTCCCACTTCCCCCTTACTTACCACTAACCACCCCCCAGCCGGTGACATAGCAGGGGTAGTTATTGGGCAGAATTTCTCCTGTACGTGGAAGCACTCCCAGCTCGACGAACCCGTTGGCATTGGCAGGAGACTCGAGGCGCAGCAGGGCAATGTCATAGCTGAAACAGGATGTAGGGGAAAGATTCCTTACTGAAAATCCTGAATCAGTCGTAAACCAGACATCCTGGTATGATGCACCTTGCAAATATCATTAATTATTCCTTATAGGTATCACAGGCAACAGGAAAATAGGAGCAATTAAGAGAGAAGAGGCCATAGTACAGACTCATAAAGGGCTAATATCCCTCAAAAACCTCCTACTGCTTTGGAGCTCTCCAAACTCTGAGTGAATTTTGGTGCATCTTGGGTGAACGGGCATGTCTCTGAGGGGTGATTTAAGACAGTCCTTCAGCATTTCCTTGTTGGTTTCCCTTTGTCAGAGGCACATGGTGCTATAACTGCTGGCAAGCCCCTGAATCCACTGTGCATCCAAGATCCATCCCTTTTTTCCAAGATGGGGAAAAGAGACCCATTTTTTCCCCATCTTGGGCAAAGCAGGACTGAGGTCGTCCACACAGACACCGTGGAACACCTCCAAGAGAGGAAGCTGCTTGGGAAATCTCCCTTGCACCATCTTTCAGTGCTTCCCACAAATCCAGCCTCACTGGGAATTGGATTGAACACACACATAAACGCTAGTGGGACAGGATGCTAAATATCATTCAACCATCTGAGGTTACTCAAAATAATTACCCGTTGGCAATGTCATTGGGATTCCAGCCATCATGAATGAAGATTGCATCCACATCAATGTAGTACTCGGTGCCATCCACCTCCAGGAGGTTGTGCTCACCCAGAGCCACACGGTAGGATGCTCCTGGGGGCCTGAAAACCAATCACAGAATAATGAATGTAAAAACTACTCCCCACCAAGTGCTCTGCAGTGTAAATACTTCCACCAGTGCAATAATTTCCAAAGCACCTTCCATCAAAGGATTTTCAATGGACTGTAGCTACATTTGTTGTGAGCAAGTCTGGTGAGGGGCAACAAAGCTGGTGAAGGGGTCTGGAGCACAAGTTTGAGGAGGAGCAGCTGAGGGAGCTGGGAGTGTTTAGCCTGGAAAAAAAGGAGGCTTAGAGGAAACATTATGGCTCTCTACAGCTACCTGAAAGGAGGCTCTAGCAAGATGGGAGTTGGTCTTTGTTCCAGGTAACCAGTGACAGAATGAGAGGAAATGGCCTCAAGTTGCACCAGGGGAGGATTAGGTTGGATATTGGGAAAAATTTCTTCACTGAACGGGTTGTCAGGCATTGGAACAGGATGTCCAGGGAAGTGGTGGACTCATAGCCCCTGGTGGGATTCAAAGGACGTGTAGATGTGGCACTTGAGAACCTGGTTTAGTGGTGGGCTTGGCAGTGTTGGTTTAACAGCTGGACTCAATGATTTTAGATGACTTTTCAAACCTAAACTATGACTCTATGATTCTAAGTGGAATTAGGAACATGCTGCCTGCAGTTTGCTGGCGAAGCAAGTGAAGGTGCAGCATCAGCTGACACAGTGCTGAGTTTGGCCTTGAACAAGAAGGTTCATTCTGCATCTCTGCATCTTTCTGAAACAGAGTATGAAGGACCAGCTTGTTACACTTTATTGGTGTTACAGCTTGTTGGTGTCCCGCTGTATTGCTGAGGTGGTGCATGTCAGACCTGCTGCAGAGCATGTACAGCACAGCTCAGATGCCAGCAAACATGCCATCTTTCCATCTCCGTGGAGGTTTCTCGGGATGCAAAACCATGCAAAATGTTCACACTCATGTAAATACACCTCCTCTTATGCAAATCAGCAATCAGCTTGATTTCTGCTCCCAGGAAGTCAGCAATTACTATGTAAAATCAAGGCTAAAGCAAACAGAGTTTTCCAGTTCCCTTGATTAAGTGAGCAGCACCACGTCCAGCTGTGCAAGGCATGGCACCAGTGGGGAGCTCAGAGGATGAGAAGAGTCTGGCTCCCATCTGCAGCAAGAATGAGAAGCACAAAAGGAGTTTTAACACTTTTTATCCTACTCACACACTGAGGCAATGGGCTGCAGTCATGACCCACTTGCTGCTGATAAGGGTCCCACCACAAATGTGAGCATAGTACCCCGGGTCATTAGGGTAGGCAATCTGAAGTGATACCTGGAGGAAACAGCAACATATTTTACACCCAAGCCATGCCATTTCTCTGCAGAAACAGTGTGTGTGGCTTTGGACAGCAGAAGCTGTCCTTTCCTCACTCTTGTGGTTGGTTTTTTTTCAAATATAAGGCTTTTTTCAAGTATAAGACACACCAGTATTACCTGCCACTTCCAGCTGTTTGGCTGGGCTTCGTGGCCTCCAATTACTCGCCCTGCCAGCACATCCTGCTGAAGAGTGTCCCTCAGGGGACTTCCAGAGATTGCCCCTAACACACAAAAAAAAGGAGAGCAGTTTGTCATGTGAGCATCAGTCATCCCAGCCAGCCAGGTCTGAAAGATGGAGTGATTGAGACTTGCACGTGGTGACACTGTGATCACTCTCCATCCTGGAGGCTTCTTTAAAGCCTCCATGGTTGAAAACTACCAGAAACAGGCCTTAAGATACAAAGCTCTCATATAAACTGACTCATTCCCCATAATCCAACCCCACACTGCTGCACCAGCCTAAATCCTCTTTCTTTTAGGGTGTAGGTTCCCCCTCCCTCAGAGAAGTTCCAGATCTTTCTCATGGAGATAATACTCCTGTAACAAAGGGAAACCCTGCCACATCAGGGTTTGCCCTAGCACAGTAACTGCAGAGAAAAAAATTTATATGCTCTAATCTGCATCACTTAGAGGTTGAGAGGTTCACCCTTCCCAGCTAAAATAAATTGCATCTTACCCAGGCAACTCAGAAGAACCAGAAAGCAAAGCATCTTTAAAGAAGTGGTCGCATTTTTTCCAAGAAAATATCTTTTTATACTAAAATACCTGGTAAGAGGCTGTGTCTAAATTTGGTATCAATACAACTTATCTCTACTCATGACTCATTAAACTGATCAAAAATGTTCTCTAGGTGGAAAAAACCCAAACTGCTCAAGGTAGAGCCCAAGGTTATACAAACAGCTCCACACTGCATGGTTCCCACAGGACCATGAAGCAGGGGGGAAAAAAAAGGAAAAAAAAAAAGAGAGAAATTTTGAGTGCTCTCAGACCACTTCAAAAACAAGGCAGGACAAACCCAGGCTCAAAAGGCCAACACTCCAGACTAGCAATTGTGGATGCACATGTTGTAAGAAATGTATTTATCAGTCCAGCTGTCTGCTGCTCCATGTAACATGAACCGATCTTTGTCAACCAGATAAACAGAGCAATAACCAACAGGGAAAAATGAGGGGGTTCAGCCTAGGCTGGACATGTTAAACTGACCTTGGCTGGACATGCTGAGCCTTTTTTAGGATCCTTTTCTTCTCCTTCCTCCCTTTGGAATGAACCTGGATCCATCCTTTTTGCACCCTCCCTTTGGGTATTTATGGACTTTGATGAGATCCTTCCCTTTTCCAGACTGATCAGTTCTAGATCTCTTGGTCTTTCCTTGTGGGAGCAGTGTTTCTGTTCCTTCGTTGTCTGTGTGACCCTTTGCTGGAAAAGACAGCTTGGGTCACCCACCCAGGTAAGCTGATGGAATCCGCTCCCCATGGAAAAGACACCATAGGATCAGGACCTTTTCCCTATCATTCCTCTTGAACAAATCCTTTCTATTTTACTGGAAGCCATAAAAAGTTCAGTGCGATATTTCAGCACTGAGACTTTATTTAAGTCATTGAACACATTTTCCCCTTTACACCATAGATCATTTTTAGCTTCCAGTTAGTTTTGGTTAAGGAGGTCAGAAAGTGTCCTCCTACCCAAGGAGTCTCTTCCCTTACTTTCACTACATTCATCATCCCTGCATGTTAGACTGGGCCAACTCACTCATTTATTTATCACCAATTTATTTTTCCAAAGACTTTATGAGTTCCATACGTAAAATGTTGTTTAAGAATGTAGTTGTTTATTCTCTTTTTGGACACTGTGGCATTTGGTTTGAGCAACTGCTTGTCCATGATCTGTCCTCTGCAGCCATGAACACGGTATCACACTCATTGTGCAGCTTTGATGTGGGGCTGGGTTCTAATGCCCAAAGGAGAAATAAATTACACCGAGGATGAAGAATTACAGCTGTTTTCAGAATTCCTCCACTCCAGGCATTGTTTTAGTCTAGGGCTATTAAGGGATTGTCTGAGTTTCCCTCTGGGTTCTACATGTGTGGTTTGTGGAAGTGGTTGACATACAGGACATATGTGAATGGAAAGAGAGGAGTGCAAGCATTGGGACTGAGAAGCTGTTCCATATACAAGCACTTGCTAGGGTGAAAAAATTTTAATTTAGGAAATGAGGAGATGGGGAAATGAAAAAATACTGAGATTTGTGTTAATGGCAATGAGAAGGCTGATTAATGGAAGGTGTCCTTGCCCATGGCAGGGGGTTTAGAACTTGATCATCTCTAAGTTCCCTTTCAAACCAAACCATTCCGTGATTCTATGATTATTTTTGGTATCTCAGCATTACCATTGACCTCCAGTTGTGAAGCTTGGCTGGAGATACTGAAGTCTAAAGGTGACATTCAAAACACATCATTTTAACTACTGCTAAAGCTCAGGAGCCCACAACCCTCCAGAGGCTATCAAATTAGTTTCAGAACATGAACAGTCCTGGAATCAGAGCCCAGAATTCTTCCTTTTTGAGAGAGAATCTCAAGGCAGAGCCATCTTGGGGTTTCTCACACGTGTAGGCAAAAAGGAATTTCTGCGGTCCAAGTCTTTACCAGCAAACAAAACGAGGCATCTTAGAGAATCAGAGAATCTCCCGAGCTGTAAGGGACCCACAAGGATCACCACATCCAACTCCAACACCACAAACTCAAGTGGCCCTGTTTGTGTCCATATGGCAAAATTCTTTTATCTCTAAACCAGAGAGGTCTCATCCATGCTGCCTATAGAGCACGGGGTCTCTTCCATACTGGCTTTCCAAATCACGTATAAAAGTTGCTACAAGAACCATGGGCTGGTGCAAACCCGTGTTATGCCAGAGTGTGCTAACAGTTATCTGTACAAAAAAAGAGGGACAATGTCTAAGTTGGTGATTCAGCACTGTTTAGTTAAATGGTGCTCTGGCATTGTTTAGTTAATTAGTGATCTAGCACTGTTTAATTATATATAGCTTTTACGTCCTTGTTCTCAGAGAATCTGAATTAAATATTTAGATGACAGCAGCATTTTCTGGGTGTGTAGATTATTTTAAGAATGATGGGAAGCACAAGGGATGTTGTGAGTGGTAGGATGGATGGTGGGGAAAGATTCCAGGACTGTACAAGAAAATAAGGACATTTGGGTGGACTTGATGAGATCCATTGGGAGCTACTGAGCACAAAGATGGAGATATAGTCATCTTTCAGGGAGGCCCTAAAGCACAAACTGAATTCCAGACGCTGAGAGGGTTCACTGTGTATGTTTGCTGTGCAGCTTTATGCCTGCTCTGCTCTTACATGCCTTTCCCTATAAATATTCCTAGCTTATCATCATCTGGAAATAAGTTAGGACAACATAAGTGGAAATACTTCTGCTATAAAAGTAAAAAAGTCTGTGGATATACTATTCTGAAACCATCATTAAAACCTTGATCTAAAACACAGTTCTTAATAAATATACTCCTATGGTCTTATTCAGCAGTAAATGAAGATAACCAATAAATGAGGATAAAGGAACAAATTCCTTCCTTCTTTTCACTGCTACAGGATGAAACCTTTATTTCAGTATGAGCACTGTTGAGCTGGAAAAGGTAATGATGATGTGAAAAGGCTAATTTGTCAGGCCACACTGTTTATCTCTATATCCTGACACATATCTTTGAAGGCTCATGTAAAATATATCCAACTCAACAGAAATTTTTAGAAAGAAGGAAACATAAAACCAGTATATGTGAAAACTTCGTATTTCAGCACTGACAATGAAAAATGGTGTAAGGTAATGCCAGTATACTCACTTTAATGATAAAAATGTTTACCAAATTTAGTCAGTCTCACAAAATACACACAGTTACCCCATATTTACTGATGTTTCACAGGATGATGTTTGATGGAAAGGGCAATGGACTGAATATCACTAGATATTCAGCATACACTGGGCTGTACACATTTATGAGAAATGCTACCTGATAAATTTATAGGGCTGCTGAGGTTCAGGCAAGTTCTAACACACTCATAAACTCTACTTGTAAAGTGCTTTTCAAAAACATTTGATATACAGGCTGTTGGAGGTACATGGAATGTGAGAGCATCTGCCTCATTAAAGTTACAAGATCAAGGACGTTTTAATTTAAAGGGGATTAGAAATAAAAGGGAAAGGGATAAACAAAAAACAGGGACACAAAGGGACAAGGGATAAATAAGGTGATGATGAAGGGCAAAAGTCTCCAGATCATAACTGATGGCCCGTTGAGGAACTACAGGCTGAGCTTTGGAGGGAGCTCACCTGGATGGTGCTGCTGATTAGAAAGGAAAAAGGTGAACTTCAGGATTTGGGGTGTTCACGAGGCTGCAGGACAAGCAGTTGGACTTGATCTTAGAGGCCTTTTTCAACCTTAATGATTCAATGATTCTATGACTAGGTGGCAACTAGAAGATCATATAGCAGGTCCAAGGGCCCAGAATCTCACTGAGGATGTGTCAGACTGGGCTCCAGCAGCTGGGCAGGAGAAATCCCAGGTCCTGGAACCTGCTGGAGATGACAGGTCTTACAGTGTCTTTATGACAGACCACTGCATATGAGGGTCTTACTGCTTTTATTCAAAACCTTTCTGCAGCACCTGGGGAGGGAAAGGATAAACTGCTTCAGTACATGTTTTATTTGAAGAATAAAGCAGTACATAAGGATCAGTGAATGGGGAGATGAGCAAAAACTAGCAACCCATTTTTTTCTCATTCATCAACATCTGACAACACCCAGTTCACTTTTGCTAATAGTTTGAGTTGAATTCTGGCCTTGACATTCTGTTTTAAGTATCACATGGAGTTGGACCATTGTCAAAATAACTCGAATGCTTTCCTTCCAAGAAAATATCAACTCAGAGAACCTTCCAGCCTAAAGGGGCTACAAGAGAGCTGGAGAGGGACTTTTGAAGAGGGAAAGGAGTGATAGGATAATGGGGAATGGCTTCAAACTGACAGAGGGCAGGCTTGGATTAGATATTTAGGAAGAAATTCTTCCCTATGAAGGTGGTGAGGCCCTGGTACAGGTTGCTCAGAGAAGCTGTGGCTGCCCCATCCTGGAAGTGTCCAAGGTCAGGTTGAATGGGGCTTGGAGCAACCTGGGATAGTGGAAGGTGTCCCTGCCCATGGCAGGGGGTTGGAATAACATGATCTTTCTGGTCCCTTCCAACCCAAACCATAGGGTTCTCTGAAAATATAGACCACAAGAATTACATCAATCTCCCTTCTTATGTTAGTGATCATATTGTGTCTCACACTGTTGTATTACGAAAAGGTAATGCAAAACCAAACAGGTTGTTAACAGATTGTGAGATAACCCTCAGAACTGCCTTTTAGAGTAAACACTCAATATAGCATAAAAACCACTGTACATATACCTGCACTTTTCTCTTTTTATCTTGCTCCCAAACTCCTACAGACAGGTTTCCAGGATTTCATAATATAGACGAATTTATATATTAAATCTTTATATTAGGGCAACATATTATTGACAAACTAGATGGAATAGACAAAACAAAAGTTCTCATAACTAAAACCATTGTGTAGGCTTTTCTGTTTGTCTGAGCACAGAAGATACAAAAAGAAAACCATCTCCTATAGTACAAGCAATGATACAATCTTCAGGAATAACATGTTACAGCTGGGTGCTGTCAATGTGGCAACGTTTCCTCAGTGCAGTAGAAGAATTCGGGTCATTTGACTCCTAATTATCCAAAACACTCCTCATTAAAACAAGGTCAAAGGGCTCCTTTAAGTAGCAAAGCTTGTTACCTGCTTTAATATGTTTAGTGATTGATGATTAATTTTGAGCATTCATAAAGCTCCCTTAAAATAATTAAGTGTACATATGTGTGCAGGGAAAGCTTGTAATGAAATATTTTGTTGGATCAAGACCAGAGTGCTCAGCCAGTTGTAATTGCACACTTGTTGTTTCCCAATATTGATTTGACTACATTTAAAAATCTTAGGAAAGTAGCAAAACATCAACAATTCAAATTATTCAAGGACAACACAGAACTGAAAGAAAAGTCTTGAGAAATAATGTCCCATTTATTTACTTTTAACAGCAGAGTAGCTTGATCTTGCTCCAGATTCTGCAGAACATTCAGTCCATAACTCAGTCTTCTGTGTCA